CTAACCTCAGTTACACAGTGTTCTGGGAGCCACTTACCCAATTAGCCTTTATCCTAATAGGAGTCTTTTCCTTTCTCTGTCTACCCCCGTGGCCCTTGCCTTTGCTGTCAACAATTTGGTGGCTAGAACAGAGACAATCAAATACTGCCCCTTTATACTTTTTCAAATAAAGGCTAATGTCTGTTTTTCTGAGTAACCAGATAAGTGACCTTCATTAGGAAGAGAATACATTGGTTATTGACAAGGCATCAGCAACATTCAATCAATAAACTTTTAATGTGTATAGGAGATGTGAGCCTTCTGTAGACTAAGACCTGTTATAAATGATTTTTCATGTCTCCATATTTACAACACTCTGCTAAATATTAGCCTATTTTATGGGTGAAGAGGCTCAGAAAAGTAAAAATATTTGCTCAAAGTTACATGACCCATAAAGGGCAGAGTCAGAATTTGAATGAGGGTTCCTTGATTCCATTCGAGGATCTTTGCATTAGGCCACAGTGCCCTCTTATTATGAGTGGCTGAAAATGACCCATGTTGAACCTGAAGTGGGGAGTGCCTGAAGAGTAATTTATGTTTGTCTCTCAGCTTTCCCTGTCCCACCCTATGTTGAGGATAATTCAGAAGCACTGCCTCTGCCCTGTTTCTGGGTGAACTGAGAGAAAGAAGGGTGCAGAGTATCCAGGAGCATCTGGTTTTGCCAGGGGTCAATTCTGGCCTCCCTGATCTCTGAGATTGTGCATATTCAAGACAAGGAGTTTCTTGCGACACATCTGATTCAACTCCTCTAGGAATCCTCTGGGCACTGGGAATTGGGAGGACCTGACACTCCATCAGACAGCGTTTCCTAGGATGTGATGCAACTGCTAACACCCCAGGCCCATTTAACAACCTGGTAAAGGAGAACCACAGCAGTTTAGTAAGTGTAATAAGAGCACACACCACCACCCCATGCTTAGCAAAAGCATGCTAAGATGGGGCTGCGGAATAGCAAAGCACAGCTCTGGCGTCAGACGGTCTGGGTTGGGTGCCCCCTCTGCACCTAGTTGCTTTTGAACCTTAGGCAAGTTACCTCTCCAAGTCTTAGTTTCCTTACTTGTAGTGATAGTACCTACCTATGTAAGCTCTGTAAGGGCAGAGATCCTGGCTCTCTTTTTCATCAGTTATCTCCAAGCTCTACACAGTGCCTGGTAAATAGTAGGGCTCAGTTTTATGGATGGGTGGATGGATGTTTGGATGGATGGATGGGACAAAAAACAGAAGTGCTGTCTTTTAATTACAAAGAGGGCTGCCTCTGGAGAATTGATCTCCTGTGCCCCTCTCTCAGTGAATGGCATCTGTCATCTGTCATGCTATCTAAGAAAAAAAACTTGGGTGTCACTTTGAAGACTCTTTTTCACTCACTCCTTACAACCTACCAGAGCTGTGAATTCCACCTCCTAAATTTTAGCTTGTGGATCCATTCTCTTCTCCTGAAGTCTACTGTCATGACCTTTGTTCAGGCCCTTTCTAATTCTCTCCTGGATTTGTATACCACCTTCAAACCATCCTCCACGCCTCCAGTCTGTACCCACCCCTTTCAATCCATTCTCCACACTTGGGACAGAGTGATCTTTAAAAACCACGAATCTGATCAGGTCACTACTGCCACCAATCCCTTCCACCCCCACTTAAGGATGATCCATGACACACTCTAGACTTTAACATAAAGCCCAGACACCCAATTGTGGCATCTTCAGCTTTTATAATCTTGCTCCTGTCTGGGTCCCCAGCCTTAGGTGGCCAATGCCCCCCACCCCACCTTGAGTTCCATGTCCCCTCCAGTAGATTTATGCTCCCTCTTGTCCTGTGCCATTGCTTGGGCTTCTTCCTCTGCCTGGAATGCTCTTTCTCCACCTTCTCTCTTCCCTTCCACATCCTTCAGAACTCAACCCTGGCATTGCTCAGCTAGGATCCTTTCTCTAACTGTCCCTGGTCCAACTAAGAATTGGATGTCCTTCTTTTTAGGTAGTCTCAGTGCTTAGTGCTCAGCCCATGACCCTATGGTCTGTTCCATTATCTGTTCTTCTCAGGTTCCTGGCTCATGGAGTGCTTTGTTTTGTTCTTCATTGTACCTAGGACACGCCCATCTAGTCCTGGCATAATGAAGGTTTCTTGAATTAATAAATACTTTGTTTAACACCAAACATGCACTTTCTCAGAAGTATATTTACAGTCAACAGCTTTGGACAATCATTGGGTAGTGAAGATATTTAACCAAGGATTAGGGTGTGGTCTGTGACTCTGGAAAATCTATGGGGAATATGTTTTTAATCAAAAGCCAAGAGATGTGATTTTTCTGTCCCAGAAAAGTTTTACTATATAAAGTCTATGGCTACACAAGCTGATCTGTCATTTTTGCCTTACTATATTATCCAAATATGACAACTCAAATAATAGCTAATAAGTAAGTAATTAACATTCTTGGTAAGCTTACTATGCAGCAAGCATTATGTGAAGTGCTTTGCAATCATCTCAGCTAATTCTCTCAACTACTGTTGGAAGCAGAAATTTTTTATTATCTCCATTTTACAGAGGAGGAAACTGAGGCTTAAAAACTTGCCAAAGGTTACACATCTAACCAGCAATGGAGAAGTAGTCTAGTTGAAACTCTCAGTCATTCTGCAATACTGACCTAACCATGGCCTCTTAACCTTATTAGATCATCAGAAGAGCCACTTCTGGGCAAAAATAGCTGTGGCTTCCGGTAAATTTTATTAAAACTCTAAATCTCCTGGCAATAACTTTCAAAAGTAGTGATTCAGACCAGCAGTGATATTTGAAAATGGAATCGCAGTGTAGGTCTAACTACAGAGATGCTCTTGCTGACAAAGAGGAATGTTCAACCTTGACCTTTATGATAATCTGTGTTTTTCCAGTTACTGGGTCTTTTGCCATCATCATCTGTTGAAAGGCACTGACCCTCATTTTATCCTCCCTGAGAAAGCCTCTCTTTCAGATTTAATTGGTCTGTCCTCATCTTTGATTGTCATTTCATTGAGATGTAGAGCAATGTTTCCCAAAGTGCTAACGACTGACCACCTGCATAATGATCACCTGGGCACTCATAAAAATGCCTATTCCTGGGCCCAATCCCACAACTATCCCAGAGACTCTCTACAGATTGGAGCCCAGGAGGTGGCATTTTAATCACATTCCCCAGGAAATTCTTATGAATACTAATGTTTCAGAACCACAAATGTAGTCTCCAGATGCTCACACGTCCAAGTGTGGTCCCTAGACCAGCATCAGGAGCTTGTTAGAAAACAAGGAATTCTTAGGCCCCGATACTGGACTACTGAATCACAACCTGCATTTTAATGAAATTCCCAGGTGATTCATATTTACATTACTGTACATGCAGAGAACCAGTGATCTAAAACAGTGTTTTCCAACATTTTTCACATCATGGCATACATAGAAAATGAAAGTATTTGTTTGGCATACAGATGAGAATGCCCGCTATGGTATAGGGCTCAGCCTGTCCCAGACCCCACCTGGCCACCCTGAATGCTGAGGACATTGATATCTTAGGCATACCTGTGCCAAAGCACACTGGTTGGGAAGCACTGGTCTACTTAAAGTATACCTAGTTCTTCTAATTTTCTTCATAAAGCATAACTCCCAAATCCTGCTTATTCTTATTTCCTTCACGATTTATCATTTCTTTCCATGCATGCTAAGAGTCAGAAAGGCTACTTCCCAAACAACTAGGTCTTAGAAATCTTCATGTAATGGAAGAGCACAGTCTCATCTTCAAGTTCTAGGTGGCCTCTTTGAGAAATGGCAGAGAGAAAAAGGATTGCTATTCTGAAGAGTCATCTGCTATGGCCTAAGGAATACTAGGAAGAAATAAGAGCCTTCTTCCCTCTGAAGAATGCTCCTTGCCTCTTAGTTCACAAATCTGAGGATGGAGAATCAGCAACAAGCAAGGTAGAGTCCTCTCTACTGAAGTATGAGCCAAGAAGAATGTGTAATTTTGTTTAATCCTTCCTCAGCAAGATATGCCAGTTTATAATCTAGACAGATGTCTCTTCTCTTAGCCAGCCCCTGACAGTGGGATGACAGTTAGAATGGAGGGAATGGAATATCTTCAGAAACACTTCCTGATGAGACCATCTTATCACAACAACCAAGTGTCAGGATATACCATATGACTTTGCAAAACCCCCAGCTCTATGGGAACCCCATTGTGTTTTCCCACTAAGGAAAATGTTGAAAATTTTAAAGCTCAAGATGGTGAGCTCTTACTTTGAAGCAAATATGACAAGGTCTACCCCTAAATGAAAGATGGTTATGGTCTAAGCAAATACAATAGGAGAACAGGTGGGAGGAACTATTGCTACCGGACAATTCACTTTTTTTCTTCTCTTTCCACCTTGCCTGTAAATCTCTCTAATTCTCTCCACTGTGCTTCCCCCAATCAAAACATAGACAAAGTAGCACATGTTTTGGCCGGTTTATTGTGGGAGTATCCGTAGCTCTGTCCCAAGACTGTACATCCCTTAAGTCTCACAAGGCTGTCTGATTTTCCCTTTGTACCTTAACTATACCCAAGAGAGGGCTCTGCCTGAAGTCTTTGTGTATTAGCAGTAGAAAGGACAGTGACCAGAGCATACTGTCACTTACCATCTCTGGTTGATTTTTATAGAACTCTTCCCTTGATCCAGACACAGAAACAAGCAGGCCTTTCTCCTGCTCTGACCAGGAGGTTCAGAAACCAGTTGGCAGTTCATCCAGAGTAGCCATGACGTCTAAGAAATGAATGAGTTTTTCTCTAAGTTCGTAGCAAGAACAGTTGGTAAAATATTTCCATCCCTGATCATCTGAATAACAAGTACTGAAAACAGAAGTCTGGGGAATGCTGAGAGCTTGGGCCTCTCAGCCCCCCATAATATAGCTGTTTTACATGACCATTTCAAGTACAGAATATTGAACAATCTCTTTGCTTCACGGTCCAGGATGAAGAACAAGCTATGGTACTTTGAATTTGGCACCTCGGAGACCTTCGCGGCCACCTGCAAGAAACTCCATGACCACATAGAGTTGGAGGTAGGTTCCCAAGTAAAGAGAAGGCTTCCTGGACCTTCTGCTCCCGGACTGTCACACCCACTCTCAGGATACGTCCCCTTAGTTCCTTAAGAGGTGATCCAGACTGTGGTTCATTTATTGTACCTCTATCCTGTTCCCAAAAACCTCGGCAGCCTTACTCAGTGGAGGCTCCAGTTGCTGCACCAGCTTTTCTTGGCCTGTCCAGGGAGTCTTTAGGGCTCTGGGACCTAGAGGCCCAAAGGATCTAGGGCCACAGTTTATTCCCACCCTCAGTCCTCTCCTCACTGCAGACTTGCAATTCCTCCTTTTTATAGAGGAAAAGATTTAGTTACCACCAGCACAGTGAGAGGAGCTACTGCTGGGGTAGAGGCAATGTCTCAGCCTGGTAAAAGTCTGGGAACTGGTGGCCAGAGGGCAGCAAGGGTAAGAAGTATGGGAGTTAAGGCCAGAGGTGACCAGACATCCCCCAGCTCAACCGCCTCAGCTTTCATAGCTGCTTCAAGGAGATGACTGCTAGGCATCTAAGGTTGGCTTTGGAGGCATGCAACCTATACAGTCTCTCAGAAGGGCCCTCAGTTTAATGCTTTTCTGTCATCGTCTTGAAATTCTTGATAATTTTTTTTTTTTACAAAGGACTCCGCATTTTCATTTTGAACTGGACCCTTCAAATTATGTAGCTGATTCTGTTGGCGCATTCGTGTTTTACTAACTCCTCCAGCACTTATAGCAGCCTGCCTTAGACAATTTGCATATCAGCTTCCCTTCCCTGGTTGAGAAGCTGCCCACCTCCAGCCCCCTCACCCCGCTTCTACTACGTTGCTCTGGTGAAGTCCCCTCACAGATATGAGACGGTCTCCTTGGTCTCTGGCCACCTGAAAACCCAAAGTCTGTGCACACGAGCTCCATCTCTGCTCTCTAGGACCTTAGGCCATTGGTTCCCTTGCCCACAGTCTCAGCTACCAACCCCACCTTCCCGTGGGAGTCAGGCCTGTATTCTTGTGTTCACTTGAGAAAAACAAGTAAAGGGGGCAGCCAGAGTTCAGCCACGATGGGCTCCTGCTGGCCCACCGGCTTTGTCCCTAAGCCTGCATTAGCAGTCAAGTGGGGCCTGGGCATCCCTAAGAGGAGGAGCATTTGGCCTGAAGCAGTGTGGGAAAGCCCCACCACTCCCTGCCGGAAGGGAGCCTGCGCTCACAGGGAGTTTTCACAAACAAAACACAAAGCCGGAGATTCTGTGCTTCTATTGGACTCATCTGCCTGCCTCCCTGTTGGTTGCTGGGTTACCAACCCCAGGGTGGGAGGAGCCAATCCAGCTAGCTAATCCCCTGAACTTTTCGCCAGCTCAGTCAGAGGGCAGAGAGGTCCAGGAGCATCTGAGAGTGTCCCCAGGTGGTACCACCTACACCTGGGAGAGGCTGAAGAGCCAGCTATCCTCTGTCGATATGTAAAATCCATTGCCTGGGAGCTGCAGAGAAGGAAAAGAGGGCTGGGCTGGAGACTGAGCACGGCCAACAGAGATATGTGTGCATTTTTCCTGTTGACATGACCGGCTGGTAGGGTCTCTTTAAATATACCCCAAGTGAGGGACAGCCCTGGCCTAATGACTGCCAGCTGCAGGCACACAGCGACTGCTTGTTCTCCTTGCAGCTGGCCTTGAAATTGTGCCCAGAATAGAGCAGCTTCATCCCCCTGCCTCTGCGGTCTGCCCTCCTGGCTCCCAGCTCCAGGCTCCAGGCCAGCCTTACTGATGGCCCTCTCTGGGTCCAAGACACAATGGCTCTTCCTCAAGAACACAGCAGGCCGGTGGCCTGGTTGCTAAAGACGCTGATGGTTTCTGCAGGGGGTGGGTTGTTCGCACTGTGCGATGTTGGGGGCTCTGGGGAACACTTCCTGTTTTCCTTATCTCCCCATAATGAGTCTTTTTAGTACTTATTCATGAGGGTAAAGGAGGGGGTGTCATGTGACAGGTGGCTCCTGACAGCCTACAGGATTGGGACAGGCACCATTTTTGCATCCAGAGAGCAGTGGATGGATGGTCCTGTGCCTTGTGATCCAGAGGGGGAACAGAGAGACAGAGGGGGTGAGGCATGTGAGTAGCAGGGGTTAGGAGGCTGTAGAGCACTGCAGGTAGATGTGAGGGCATCAGGGGCCTCAGGAAGAGCAGGAAGAGAAGCTATGTTAAGTGACCTTCTAAATGTGGCCACGTCATACCACAGCTCAAGCCTGTGAGGACTAGCACACTCACCAGTTCAAGGCCAACCATCCTGAGAATAACTCCAGACAGGTATTGATACTACACATCATTGTTTCTAAAACTCTACAGCAGCCTCTATTCCATAGTCACATGACAAACCTGTGAGCTAAGTAAGCCAGCTATTATTATCCCCATTTCATGGAAAAGCAAGCTGAGGCACAGAGGTATAGAAGGGTAAACAGAAGGGAGAGGAAAAAGAAAAAGGTAAAAAGAAAAAGTCACATTCTTTGACTGCCTACCGTAGTATGTCTTCATTTGACACAATAATCCAGTGAGGCAAGTACTATTACATTTTTTAAATGAAGAAACTGAAGCCCAGATACATTCAGTAACTTAACCAAGATTTCATTGCTGGAAGTTGGTGAGAGAGAAGATTCTAGGCCTCCTGGAATGAGTTTAGCTTAGAAGCCAATAAATAGAGATGTACCTAACAAGTGATAGAAACTCAGTGGATTCAGCACGGATGCACTGTTTCTTCCTCCTTTATTGAATGTGAGGCCATTTGGTTCCTTCTCAGCTGAGGCAGCTGGGCAGATCTGCTGAGAAGTGCTTTCAAACAGAAGACACAGTCCTCCTGCTCATTTGAGGAAGGACTAGGTTCAGTATGGGCGGTAGGTGAGAGTCAGAGAGGAAAACTGCCTTAAAGTTTACAAAAGGTTGTCCCACACAGCGTCCCATTTTATTCTGATCTACAGACCATGCAGGGCAAATATTAATGTCCTTACTTTATGAGTGAGGAAACTGAGGCTGAGAGGTTCAACAACTTGAGATAGCACAAAAAGGTAAAGAGTTCAGAAAAATAGTAAAGTCTATTTAGTTTCCGTGTGTGTGTGTGTGAGACCCCCTGGTAAAATTTGAATGGTGAAACTTAAAGCTAAAAGGAGATTATGCAAGGAAGATCTCCATTAAAAGCCTCTCACGTGGAATCCAGCCTGTTTCTCTGAGGCTAGTGGCTTGTTGAGAAGGACTAGGAGACTTAGTCCCCGCTCTGAAATGAAGCTTACAGCCCAGCTGACAGAACACACAAGAATTAATATAGTAGTCACTTAACTAGTGCTAAGGAAACTGGATCCAGGGGTTCTGGGGAGCCACATGAGCCAGATAACTCTGGACTCTGTTTTGGAGTCTCAGAGGCTCAAACAGAGGAGAAGGTGACTCTAGATCTACTGCTCAGACAGGGGAGAAGGTGACTCTACATCTACTGCTCACCTGCAGAAAGACACTCAGCAAAGACTGGCACAGTGAGAGGAGCCTGGCCCAGACACACAAGACATAGGGGTTAGCCCTGTTCTGCAGTTAGGTTAAGTAACTTGCTGAACTGTGTGTGTGGCCTCAGTGTTCTCATCCATATAATGGGCAGAAGAGAGCTTTGCCTACTTCCCAAGGCTATTTATTTAGATTAAAGTTTTCAGGGTTTTTATTTTTAAGTAACTGGCAATGGTGCTAAGCACCTCCCAGAATCTGCAAAGCAGCTAAAAGTGGCAGGTATCATAATCACCTTTCCAAAGAAGGGGATAGAAGCTGAGAGAAAGCAAGACGCTCACCTGAGGTCCACAGCCTATGAGTGGTCAGGTCAGGATTCAAATACAGATTTGCCCAAAACCAGAGAGTTTCAGGGCAGTACTGGTACTTCAATCTAGACAGAAATTCTAACAGGTATGGGGTATATCTGATCTGCTTTTATTCACATACTTTTATTTATTTTAACATTTCAGCTAACATTAAAGGCAGGCATAAGATTTTTACATTCATCAAAAAGAACATAAAAAAATATCGCAAATGCTTGCCCTAAATGCTTCCTTCACCAGAACACAGAGGAAGGCCTGTGAAAGCTAGTGCTATTCCTGGAAAATAGGTGCTCAGTAAATTGTGATCGGCTCTAATTAAGAAGCCACCAAGTCACCCACATGACTCTCATCATATGTGGTCTAAGGCTGTCTCTCATGGTCTCTCAGAGCCCCTGACTTCTCTTCCCTTTCGAAGCCACCCTTGATGTTCATTCTAATCTGACTTCACCTGAATAAACAGGTGGGGGATGGAGTGAGGGAGGGACACAGTGAGTCACCTCCCCACCCCACGCCCAGAATAGCCTTGCAAAGGTTTTCAGACATGATCGTAGTCAGGTGGAGCAAACCAGGCAGGCTTCAACTCGAGCACTTACTTTACATGCTGTGGAAATTTTTCATTTTACTGGCTAAAAATAAAAACTTCCAAAATTCCTTGATATTTTATCTCCTTTAAAACAATGTTCACAAGGGAAGGCGAGCCAGCTCCAGTAATATGAACCTCTGCATGGGGAAAAGTAAGTCCAAATTTGGAAGCTGCTCAAAAAAATCTGTTATCGAGTATATTTTAGGAATCTCTGCACATCAGTTCCCCTCTTTCAACGAGGATTTAAAAAATACTACAAAATCTTGAGAACAGTATATCAAATACTCCCGTTTCCCCCTCTTAGAATTGATATTCGTCTATATTGTTTTATTCCTTTCAAGCATTTTTCAAACGAAGAAATAAATTACAGATAGAACCGAGTTTCCCCACGGTCCTTTTGCAACTTGCCTTTTTCACTCATCATAACATTCTTGAGCTCTCTCCGTCTTGATGTTGATAGGGCTAGTTTGTTATTTTTAACTGCTCTGTAGTGCTCCATGAATATTCCACCATGATAAGGAGGAAGAGCAGAAACGAGAACTCTCAGACATGGCTGGTGGGAACATAAGTGGTAAACCACTTTGTTTGGCAATAT